AGAGAGAGAGAGAGAGAGAGAGAGAGATGCAAAGGTGGGGGACTCAATTTGTCCCACATCGAAAAGCAATGAAGGTTTTGCCTATATAAAATACTCAGCAACAACCATTTGTATGTGCTTAAAAGCACGTGCGGCGGCTTAGAATGAGATGGTGGGCCATGCGATTGCCGAGAGATTGGCCTCTACACCCTTGATTTTTGAAAAAAAAAATTTAGAAGTTCACTTAGCAAAAGAATCATATCACCGATTTTTTAAACATCTATTGTGTATATATCTGGAATAGTGGGTGCAATTTTGTTATATTATCATTATATGTAGATGATATTTTGCTAGTTGATAATAATATTGGCATGTTAACGATACCAAATCATGGCAAAGTTTCAATTTTAAGATGAAAGATATGGGAGAAGCCTGATATGTATTAGGATAGTAAGAGATAGAAGTTCGAGGCTTTATGTTTATCTTAAGAAAATTATTTATAACGTATTTTAAAGAGATTTAAGATGGAAAATTGTAAACCCATCTATACAACCGTTTGTAAAGGCTTGAAATTTTCAAAAAAAATATATACACTAAATGATAGTGACGATGCTGAAATGGAAATAATTCCATATGCTCAAGTTGTAGGATGTTTAAATTATATCGTGTTGTATACAAGACCTAATTTGAGTAATGCATATGGTATTGTGAGTAGATTTTAGAGTAATCTTAGGATGACTCATTAGCAAGCCGTAAAATGGATACTTAGGTATATTCAGAAAACTAAAAACTACAAATTGTGCTTCTAAGAAGATAATTTAGATATTACTGAGTACTTTGATGCAGACTATGCAGGAGACCTAGATGATAGAAAATCAACCTCTGGACTTGTGTTCCTCTTTGGAAGTTGATATGTTTTTTGGTCTAGTAAGAAACATGGTTGTATAGCTCGGTATACTATGGAAGCCGAGTATATTGCTCGTAGCATTGCTACAACTTATATCGTCTGGATTGAACGCTTCATAAATGATTTGAAGTTAGATACAGTAGACGGACTTGTCAAAACACGTAACTTTGTCATAGGGCCTTTGATGTCTTAGTCATGAGAGAAAAAGCCGCATTAGTTTGAAAAACCTCATTACACGACTTTGGATATTTTTTGTGTCATGAAATGCATAACCGCACAAGCATGAAAAGCCTCATGATAATGATATACTCATCAATATTAAACCCATTAAGTGGTATAGACTTTATGATATTTCAATATATGGTCCTTATGGCCAAGTGGGAGATGTTGGTATGTATGAGTGGCTATGGGGCTTCGCATGCGTCATATTTTATCTCTTAATATAATTAATATGTATCCTAAAAAAATACTATATAGTGTTTTTATCATCAAAAGGCTTTTTAGAGAAAGAAAAGACTTTTTTTTAATAGATAGTAAATAATTACCCATTTCCTAGTCATCTTGTCAGAGATTCTAGGAAGGAAAGCCGAATGTTGAAAAACAACCTCCTCCCATCCCTTTACAATTTAGGATTTCATGGCTATGAAGAAGTACACAGATAAAAACATAGAATTCTCAATACTTTTGGAAAGCTCTGCTCTTTGCGACTTACATTCAAACGACATGGCCTTCAATACCTGAGATTTTGGAGAGGTACCTCCTCCCATCAAAAGTTCAATAGTATAGACATTCTAATTTAGCTAAAGGAATTTATAAAAGACCGAACCCTAGGATCTAAGCTAGTAATAGCCTTTAACCAGTTATCTTAAATCAAGTTTAACCTAATGGACTCTATAAAACACCCCCATGGACTGATCCAACAATTACAAACCTTGAAATTCCCTTAGAATTCATGCACTGTAACCTTCAAAAGTCATCCAAATTAGGTCAAATTTAAAGACATTATAATATTTTAAGAAGTATGAGAATTACTCACTTTTGATGTACAATTTAAAAGTTACGGCCCAAAGAAATTTGTCTTTCCAAAATATGAGGCACTCCTCTCTAAAACACATATTTGCATCATGCATACTGTTTGTGCATTGCAATGCTCCTTTTGACCTCATTTCTTTAGAAGACTCAGAATTCATATTGCAAGCCACGTCAAAGATAACCTTTTTTTTTTTCTTTTCAAAATATGCAAATTAAAGTCTAAGATCCCATAGAAGGTGAGATATAAGTGTTAGAAATCACAAATTTCAATTTTTTTCTATTGAGAGTAGTCATCCATTGATTTTTAGGTGAGTTCCCAAAATTTCATGTTGAAAAAAATCCTCCCAAGAGAGTAGAAATCAACTTTGCTAGAGAGAGTACAACAAAGTGCTCAAGAATAAATGAACCTTCATATGATGAGTTCACCAAAAAAACTGAATATCACCCGTAATTTATAATAATCTTTTAATAACATTATACAAAAGAACTGCATTTTAATCAGAGTTTCCACTTTGGGGTTGCTAAGCACTAAAATAAAGCATTGGGCACCGGGCAGAGAGAAAAAAAAGCCCATTAGGTGATGGACTCGGCTCATAGCCAGACGGCGACGAGACAACTGTGGAAGAGAGATAACGGGCGTGATCAAGAGTCCAAGAGAGAGAGTCAGGCGTCGACCTTGTCACATTTTAGAAAGAGATATGGAGACGATTGGGTAAGGGTGGCAATGGACCCGACCAGACTCGAGACTCAATATTTGATTTAGATATGAGTTCAAAATTTGGATTCGAATACCATTCGGATTTGTGTTTGGGTCCCGCTAAACCTGACCCGTATCCATGGTTATAAGATATATGGTGGCAATCATGAGTCTTTAGACACACGTTAGCCGTTTATATTGTCGACTATATTTATAGCATTATTAAAAATAAAAAAAGAAGCTTATAGTCATAAAATATATGGGTAATTATTAGAAATATATATTAGTTTTTGACAAATTAGAAAAGAACCCTCAATCGTCCACAATTTTTTTTTCAGTTTTGGCATTTAAATTACTTAGAGTTATCACGGCATTTAAAATGTCATATAAAATGTGGTAGTCATTACGGTACTTAAAGTACGGTAATGCTAGGGCTTCACAATAATATTATGACTACTGTAAATGTTATTTTGATAAAAAAAATTGTCAAAAAATAGTGTGAATGAGATTTATGAAAGTTAAAATTTTTTTTTGTATCAAGTGAAACTAAATGTATATTTTTGATAATTTTTCTAGAATTATACGACGGTAAAACATTAGCAAAAGAAAAAAAAAATTTATAAACGTAGGATGGCAATGGATCCGACCAAATCCAAGAGCCGACGGGTCTGAATATGAATCGATATTTTGGACCTGAAAACTATTCGGATCCAAGTCCAGCCGGACCCAGATCCGTTGCAACCCTGGACCAAAAAGCTCGTCGGAGGATGGAGCTATTAATGGGTTTTAGAGAGAGAGGAACAAGGGAAAGGAGGCTGATCGAAAGCTGCACACAGGAAAACTCCAATCGAGTGCACCATGAGTTAGAGAGAGACCGTTAATGTACAGCCTGCCTTTCGCATTGTCCAATCCAAAAGCTAGAGAGAGAAAAGAGGCGCCAATCGCGTAAAGCAGGTGATGACTCAGAGAGAGAAATGAGCAGCGAAATGACCTAGAGAAAGAGAGAGATGGATTTCCTCCATTCATTCACCATGCTCCTCACTCTCTCGCCCTAAAACTTTCATCACCCACGATCACAGAAGAGAGAGAAAAGGAGGGATTTGTAGAGAGAAGATGGCTGGAAGGGAGAGGGTGAGAGAGCGGCTCAGGCTGCTACAGGAGGGCCTGGTTTTCGCATGGCAGGCTAAAGATGAAGAAGAAGAGGAGGACGACGACGAGAGGAGGATAGAGATTGATGGTGAATTGGGGGCCCTTTTGCAGGAGCTCTCTCACCTGCAATCTCGCATGGCGGTTCTCATGGAAAAGATCGGTACCCTCCCGCTTGAGATCATCAGAGACATGCGCGAGGAGGTCCTTGAAGTCACTGATCAGCTCCGCACCCTCAATAGATCCCATGCTCGCTAACTCGTTGCAATTGGTTTGATCCCTCCCCCTCTTCTTCTCTCTCCAGAATACCCCCTTTCTCTCTCTTTCTCTCTTTTTCTTCCCCTTTTTCTTCTGGTGTCCTGTAAAATTGGGATGCCTGGATCTTTGGTTGCTCTGCTTTTCATTCTGGAGGGGCGCGATCAGGTTTTCTTCACGGTTTTTACTGGAATTATGGGGTCGTTTGTCATGTGATTTAAGGACTTCGTTGTGAGGTGAATTGCTGTATTTGCCTGTAGATATACCCGCTTTCTGATCCCTTTTCTTTTCCTTTTTATTTACCTTGCAGTCGTGGAAGTGTACGTTTGCTCGTAAAATTTTCTCATTCCTTTGAAAGCACAGAGGTCATGGTTGGACATAAACATCTAAAATAAACTTTTTTTTTTTGTGTGTAAGAATAATCTTTCATCTTGGTGTTACCATAATTGTTTTGGCTAGATTTTCTCTAGTCAAAGAGTTTTTTTGTTCAAGAGGAAAGGTCTTGCTTTATTGGGATGTTTAGGGCTTTGAGCTTCATTCTGTTAATAGAAGGACAAATTAAATTTCTGCTTTGGATGTAATGTATTTTTATTTGGTAGTTATCCAATGTTGGATGTAATTTGACATGGATATCTTTTGATAATTTATAATTTGAGATTGATGGTCTGATAATCCGACAAGTTATAATGTATTCGTGTTTGTTTCATATTTTTTCCCCCTCATTTGTGATTGTTATTTGGTGTATTAAACATTTAATTGATGGGAATAATAAAGTTTTTATAGAAAACACAGATATTGTTGCCCTATATAACTTAATTTTCATATCTTCTCCTTGCTGCAATGGAGATTTCAGAGTATTGCTTTGGATAATTAAAGAAAAAAGAAATGAAAAAAAAAATGCTTGTAATGCTGCATATAACTTAAGGGATTGTATAGAATGAGACCATTTACGTTTGGTACAGGAGGTAACAATTACTTACAGCCATCTGATGTCAAATTTGATAGCTTGGGTGTGTCACATTTTGAAAAATTTATTTTGAGCTTTGAACTTGGTCAATGAAATAAATGTAGCCACCCAATTTCACATCCAATGGTCATGATTAATTATGACCACCTTGTACCAAAGGTAAATGGTCTCATTATATACTTTCCCATAACTTAAAAGCTTTATATTTTTTTCGTTTTTATAGTTTTTCACATTAACGAGTGGATTCATGCGAGTAATTGGGGAAATGCTGTATTTGCGTGAACAATCAGAAGAGAAACAACAAAAAAATTGGGGAAAAATGCATAGACATAAGCTTGATACAGTGACAAAGAGAAGTGGGAGAATAGTTAAAATGACCCAAAAAATATTGGGAACATCTTGAACATTTTCAGACCAACCTCACTTCAATGTAAAAAGTCATCTATCTTTAACTTATAGGAAAAAATAAAGATTTATAAAATTTTGTGTGATTTTACTTAAATGAAGGGCATCATCATCATCCAAGCCTTATCCCATTATTTGGGGTCGGTTACAACAGAAATAGGGTTAATGCATATAATCCAAATGTCCTCTTTTAAACCAGAATATCAATGCTGTTTCAAAATAACTTGTAGTAGCCCAGAATTATTGTAGCATTCATAAGAATGGTTGGTGGCATAGTTTGCTAATAAACAAGGAGGTTTTGTGTAAAAGGAATTGATAGGATCCACGATAATCGACATCAGGAAATGTTCTTTTTCTCATTGTAAAGTACTTAATCTTCATGTTACTACTGTTCAGTGATGGATATAATAGTACAATACTGCGTATGTTGCTGTGTTGAAAATAAATCCTTGGACTGTTCCTCTTTCTCTGTTGAATTGCTTAGTGCTCTTCTGCCACATATTTTGGTTTTGTTTAGGTAGTAGCTAACTAGCCACCAAATTTAGAGGGGCCTGAGCTAGAGTGCGTGGTAGTTCTACACTTGTTGTTAAGATTTGAGAAGTGGACATTAGTTGTTCACAATTTGAGCTGTTCTATGATAGTTTTTAGTGTCACCCAATAAAATATTTTACACTTATTTATCAAAAAAGAAAATAAAATTACACCTGTTCCTGGCTTTAGTGTTAGGGCCCTCATGATACTTCCTTGGGGATTCAGAAGAATTTCCAAATAGAAAACTTCCTTCTTTTCAACTTGTGGTTTTGCTAGTATACCTGTTTCTTAGCTACGTCCAATAGCTAAAACGACCAAAGATGGAGATGTATTGCCCCGTAACAATCAAGAGAAGTATTGCTGCACCAGAGAAATTCAGGTATTACAAGCCATGGACATTCAATTTGAAACCATTTGTTAATTATGATTGCCTTGTTAGTCTTTTCTTAGAAGCATTTGGCTATTTCCTGGATACACAGTGCATTAAATTATCATTGACACACAGGCTATACCTCTGCTGGCTCTTTCCTTTTGGAGATCTCATTACCAATAGAAAAAAGAAACACATTCCTTATCTGTTAGGAGTTAGGAGATATAAGTTGTGAAACTGCAAGTAATGCTGAGTAGTCTTGGACTGGACCTCGTTTCATTTTCACTATTTCAGTTTTTTATAAATAGTTGACAAATTTAATGTGGAAGGGCTTACATTTATTTTGTTGGAGTTTAGCCTATATTATATCTAACATTGTGGAGGAGAGTGCAATTTAATGTTGAAGAGGATTAACTTCCCATATTGGATAGAATGTTTTTTGATCATCTGTAGATGGTGTCCAATGTCCATGTTTGTAATATGATCTAGTTTTTAAAGTGTGAATATTTCATTTCTCCCTTCCATTGTTCTTAGTTGGTCTCTGGTCTTTCTCATAGTTGAGGGAATAAACTTCTCTTGCTGATTTTTCTGTTACTTTTTCTTAGTGGTATTTGGATTTGGTACTAATTCTGTGGAGGTAAATTTGATGGGGAAATCAATAGTGTCAATCGAAGTGTTAAAATCCCGAAATCAATAATGTCAATCAAAGTGTTAAAATCTCATAATACAACATAGAGATGACACTGGAAAAGATAAGGTTAATTGTGTAAGCAGCAGGTGTGTGGCGATCCAAGTATAGATTTCCGAAAAATTTCTTGAACTTCTATTACAAACACCTAGATCCACACATTACATATAACCATCATCATGAAAGGAACAAGGAAAAAAAAGAAGAAGAAAGAACACCAATAAGAGATTGCTGCCACATTCTCAGCAGCCAAACACAAATAAATAACAATATTGAGCAAAAACACAAAAAACTCCAACCACGACAGCCCATTCTATCTCCTTGGATCAATGGCTCATGATAACTAGCTTGGGAAAGTTCTTCTCAAGTCTCCTAGGGAATTGAATGGCTAGGGACAAGAGAATAGAGAAGAAAGAAATCACACCCCTCTTTAGGGTTTCTCTCCTTTCTAGGCTTTTTTCTCTCTTTTCCACATTCCCAGCCCCTTGGCCTTGTTCTATCTTTCACGCCCAGCTGTAACCTCTCATTTTCTTCACAAAACCAATCTCACGTGGCACATACTTTGTGATAGTCTCAAGTGGATATCTTTGGGAGAGTGGTTCAAGGCCTTTATATAATACTAGGTTAATGTTTGATATAAAATTGCCTTATCTTACCGTTAACTCCCTGGAAAAAAAGAACTTGCCTTATCTTAGGAGCTCTGTGTGTTGAGAGAGGCTTTTAATCTTTGCCTTTCATTTGTAGATCACATATGATGATTTAAGAATGAGAATCATGCTATTATCCTTATTTTCTCTTATCCGCACTCTTCCAAATTCAAAAAGAATTCCTTTTCCAATTCAAAAGGGATTTGTACCAAGTTTTCCATTATCTATAGAACTGAATCCTCTCTAAAAGATCAATCATTTCTTTAAAATGATTCCTATCACCTATTTTCTTTTTAAATTTGAACGAAGATTTGAAACGAAGAAAAAAAGGAAGAAAAAAGATAGGATGTCCAAGCCCTTTAAAAATTTATGGCTAATTTTTTTAAAATAAGTAATTACTAGAAATGACTTAGATTTACATGGGACCCATGGTCAGTGGGGCACATGTGATGCATGTGAATTATGTGCATATGCGTGGCACATGTGCCTCAAAGTGTTCTTAACCCATGTTTTTATATTTTTATATTTTTGGAATGGACAAAGATATAGTGCCACAATAGTTCTATGGAGAGGACAAAAACATAAGTCCACATAGATGCTCCTTCCCTTTAAGAGCACAAAAATTATAATTCTGAAGTGCTATTTGTCGAAAGAAAATAGTCACCCTAATCCCTTATTTGCATTATGAACTCTTAGAGTATATTTAAGAAAGCTTGAAAGAATGCAATGGGATAGGGCATCACTATAACTAGGCACTCATGAGTTCTAACCATTCAATCACACCCTGCCTCCCAAACTAACCCAATAAAGCCCATGACCCACTTGCCTCTCTTGCGAGGGCTCGTGTAGGCTAGAAAGTTGCTTGGGATTTCAGGTGCCCCCCAAACGAGAAGTCATGCCTAGACACCACTCAAAAATGTAGGGGTTGTCTCTCACACTCATAGAGGTCACAAGGTCTCCAAAGATGAGATTGTCATGTATGCGTGCTATAAGGTTAGTGTGTCAAGGTTTTGGTTCTTTCCCTCAAAAGCTTCTATCCATTCATGCAGGAGTGTGAATTCCTCCTGGCACACGAACACGGAGCTCACCCTAATTTCAATAAGGATGATGCCTAGACCCTCTTCATTGATGTATTAGGCTGTGCGACCCTCTAGGATCCGTGGTTTTTCCGACTTCTCATCGTAGGTCCAAAATGCAAACCATGGAGAATGTCCTATGGGCACTCTCCCTCTATGCTCTCAGGTCCTCTCGTCCATAAAGCTCATTGCTATGTCATGGACCAATCCATGCCCCGCTTAAATTGGGGATCTTTATCTTCATTAACGGCATGAGTACTCACATTGGTGGCATGAGAGCTAAGGCCTTTAGAAGCCACACAAACCCAACAAATTGGTCTGGAAAAGAAGTGGCTTGAGAAAACAATCTGGGCTTTCTTCAAAGAAGACTATAAAATACATAATATGGAACCCTACCATGGAGAAATTTCCTACCGTTATTGATTTGAGAAAAGGTCCATAACTGGTGTTCTCATGTCCTACTTGAGATGCAATAGCAGTTCGAGTGATAGTTACCAAATTATCCTCACATCTCAATGTTGGATAGCAAATCAAAGTTGTAAATCCTTCTTGTACATTAAGTGTAGTAGCTTTTCTACAAGATCACTGCCGTAGAAAATAATACAAAGAAAACTAAAAAATTAAGACAAACCAAAAACATAATAATATTTAAAGAAATATAATCATAAGTTGTAGAGATGATAAATGCATTGGGACATAAATGATGAGTTATACGAATTCAGATTCTATCATCTAGTGGTTCCTAGCACTGGATGAGTTTCGAAATTTATGGGCATTGACCTTTTTGCAAGATCAGGTTAGTGGAAGAATATTGTCTTTATGAAGCTGGGGAGATTTTTTGTTCTTTTAAACCTAATGGGTTCTTTGGGTCCCTAGATACGCAAATCCTAGATATGCATCAAAACCTCGGTATACAAATTCTAGCATATGCAAAACCTGGTTTTAGCAACAATGCTGTTTGGTTAGGTTCTAGAAAAACCTAATGCATGACAAATC